TAGTCGCTTGAGAAAAGTGAAAACGAAGCAATTCCAGCGTTTGATTTCCTCATTGATTATTATGTTTGTACTTTATCCTTCTCCCAATCAATGAAGAATTTACGTAGTTTGCTTTTAAATTCTACTTTTGAATACCGAATATTTGTATCACACGCGATGTCTTGAACGTACTTTTTTGACGTAAGACGTTAATGATTTTAGTCATTCGTTATTTTGGTCCTCTTTTTAGGATAGCTTCCATATATTATTAATTTCATAAGCCCACTGATCTAATTATGGCCAAAAAATGGGATCTCTCCCACAATGTGTATAGCTCCCACAATGATCCCGGCCCATTTGTGAGGATTCAGCGGCAGAAATGTATCCATTTTCCATTCTCGATATTTTAAGGATATAGCCGTATTTTTTAGAGTTTTATCCGTATGTTCTAGAATTGTGACTGTAATTTTGCATACCCATTTGGTTTCTTGAGGCTTACATTCATGTATGCAGAAAATTATCAATAATGTCCATGTTTAAACATATCACCCTATTATTGTAGGGTGAATGATAATTTCGAAATCGATCCTATTTCAATACAGATCAATGTGTTGACATTTGTCCACATCATTTCTTATGTTTTGAAAGTTTAAGCCGAAGAACATCTTTGTAGAAGCCTATCGAATACCAATCGAGTTATCTGTATCATGTTATATCATGTTCCCGATTGTTAGTAGACTGCAAATTATTCACAATATATGGTTGGGAAAAATAAAAACCAGTATGAAAATGTCCATAAAATCGGAGAAATTATCGAATTTGACCGCCTTGTAGCATGAGCCAAAAATCGACAATAAAACTGTTTTAAACCATTTACACAAAGCTGGATTCAGAATGAATCTCGATGTTTGGGTGCTACACCAAATAACAGAAAAAATATGATCGATTGAATTTCCATCTGCGAAGACTTGGCCAAACGGAATGAGTTAGACTCATTTCACAAACGGATACTGACTGGATATGAGAAATGGATCACATAAGATAACCCTGTATGAAAACGATCGTGGTCAAAGAGCACTGAAGCACCTCAAGCGGTGGCCAAACCAGGACTAACGACCATTAAGGTTCTGCTATGCATTTGGTGGGACTGGAAGGGGATTGTTTATTGTGAGTTGCTTCCATATGGCCAAAAGCTAAATTCTGATCTCTACTGTCAACAACTGGACCGTTTGAAGATATCAATTGGCCAGAATTGGCTAACAGGAAAGGTGTTCCACCAGAACAAAGCTAGGTCACATACATCTACAGTGACTCGCCAGAAACTTCGGGAGCTTGGTTGGGAAGTTTTAATGGATCCGCTTTACAGCCCGACTTGGCACCAAGCGATTATCATATTTGTCTTGCATTGACAAATTTCTTTAATAATATAAAATTTGTATCTACGGAGGATTGTGAAAATCAACTACTAGAGTTTATTGCAAATCGAGAGCAGAACTTCTATGAGAGAGGCATTATGACATTACCTTTAAAATCTCAACAAATCATACAATAAAACGGTGCATATTTGGCAGGGTGCGCAAAAATTCACTCGCGAATGAATTAAAATGCATTATTTTCCTTTTGTGTTCATTTTACGAATGAATTTTTGGCGATAAATTCTTTACCAAACGATCATTCGCCAAAGAATGTTCGCACGCACATAACAAACGAGTGAGAGCACGCAACAACGATCGTTCGTTTCGTTTGGTGGTTGAAATTCTTTCTGACATTCTCTCACAAATGAAAACAAACATTTCCGAATTTTCGGGAATGTTCAAAACACCAACAACAAACTTTCGTGAAATGTTACCGAAATTTTATCGGTCGTAAATTTTTCGTACAATGCGAACATTCGCGAGAGATTGCAAATGCTTATTGATTCATTGTAACATTATCATTCGCAATAAATTGAAAACATTGGAATTCTCGCCGTGAGCATTCGTGAGAAAGAGCATATTTTAATCATTCTTCGCACCTTGATTCCTGGTTCGTTAAGTTTTAGATCTCCTCCACGTTACTTATGGTGTTGGGCCATATTCTGCATATGATCCTGACACAAGCCCGGTTTCACTGTCATGTAAGAGAATCGATTTTATACATATATCCAATATTTTCAGCTTGGCTATATTAATTTCAAGTTTTCTAATTATGACTGCATGTTGGTTATCTCATAGAGAAAGGATAGATATCGTTCGCATAATCTATGTCCTAAAATCATACCTTAGCGTAAATGATTAAAAACTTACTCTCATTTTTCCTCGATTATATTTGGTGATGAATTCTTAGATGCGCTCACCGAACTAACTCTCAATTTGAGTTCTGAACAACAATGATCTAAGACTTCGAGTTGCCGCGAGAGACTCTGATTAATACCTGTTCTGCGAGAGCCGATGGCATCGACATAATGGGTGGAACATTGCGAGCGGCAACGGCCACCTTTAAACAAATTGAAAAGGAGTCTGCCAAAGTGGGTCTGGCAGTAAAAGACGATAAGACCAAACTGATGGTATCGGAGATTTGGAGAAGTGTTATATTGTTCATCATATGGTACTATGGTCTAAATAAACAATTCAGCGAAAACGGCATATATAGGCAGACCATACTCACACTCTACAAAACCGTCCTGATCTAATACAATCCGTACACGACCATCGAGCTGCAGCGACTGTGGAGGCTAGAACATATTGTGCGAATGAATGAGGATGCTCCTACTCAGAAGGCATAAAAGCGAGCCTGCTGATGGTTCATGGCAGTATATTAATTTTGTTTTTCTGTTTGTAACTCATCGAAATAATTATTTCCGATCAGCATAAAACTCTATGACGATTTAGCCATGTCTGTCTGTCAGTTGTAATCATTCTAGCCTTTAAGCGAATTGAGATAGATCGCCAAAATTTGGCTAGAGTCGTCTATTGTGTGCAGGCTATATCGGCCCACCTTTAGGCATACCTCCCACATAAGGGTAACCCCCAATTTTCGGTATTTTGGGGTTCTTGAGCGCGGTTTTAAACCGAATTCGCAGTAATTTAGTATTTTTTAGTTGCATATGGCAACAAATCTCCCTACCAAAATTATTAATATTCGCCCCCTTTTAGGGATAGTTCCCATATAACCCCCTTTTTATACCCCTCACCACACTATGGTACAGGGTATTATGTCTTTGTGCATATGTTTGTAACAGGCAAAAGGAAACGAAATAGACACATGGTTCCTTTTGAGAATATGCATAGAACCACTTTTTAAGTGGATTCATGCATGTCCGTCCGTCTGTCTGTCCATGTTAAATTATAAACAAAGTACAGGTCGCATTTTTGATTCGAATTGGATGAAATTTGGCACAGCTCATTTATTTGGCCCAAGGACGAACCCTATTGAAATTGGGAAAAATCGGTTCAGATTTAGATATAGCTCCGTCCGATTTTATGTAAATGGTCCCTATATATCCTTCGATATGCACGAAATTTTGCATAGCGTACTGAATTAAATCTAGAAAGATGTGTGTTAAATTTCCTGAAATTCGGTCCAGATTTAGATATAGCTCCATATATATTTTCGTCTTATTTTATGTGAATGATGCACCAAAGTCCCTATACATCCTTTGATTTTCACGAAATTTGGATTTATAAGTAAATGAAGAACTCAAAATGTTGCCAAATGCAGAAAATATACTGAAACAAGTATAACCTAACATTTGACATGTTTCGATGAAATCGGTTTAGATTTCGATATTTAGCTTTAAATTTATTGTCACATATATTGTCACATTGTAAGAAGCAACTCTATATCTGATCAAAATTTAGTATAGGTTGCAGAATGACATGTTAAATTTCATGTTAATGGTCTTTCACAAATGCGACCTCTGTTAGGATTCCATCTGTTGAATATACCCAAAGTGGACTTTTGAAATTTCCTAACTGGTTTAATATAAACCGACTATATGATACCCTTCACCACTTTAGGTACATACAAAAGATGATCATATATACAATATCATGTAGATAGAACAGATAAATCGTCTTTGGAAGACCATTGAGATGGAATCGGGCGAAATCAAATGTGTGATCTATAAGATATTTGAACCAATTAAAAAAAAAAAAACATAGACATACCATTCTGAAATCAATGAAAAATTGCATATCAAACTGGCAGACTTCGATCCTTTGGTGTTTTTTTATTAAATCGAGCAAAATTATGTATATGAGCTATATGTAAATATGGACCTAATTAAGAAATCGTTGCATACAACATGTTTTTGCGACTTAAATACACATGACTCAAAACTTAATTTAATATAATTTGCAAAATTTGGTGTCAATTGAAGAAACATAGGCTCTTCGGTCCACCATTTACGTAAAATCAGAGGAAAATATATATAAGACCTATAACTAAATATGAACCGATTTTCCCCAATATGTTTCGTCCTTTTGACAAATAAGTGACCTGTGCCAAATTTCATCCAAATCGGATAATAAATGTGAGCCGTACTTTGTAAACAAAAATACATGGACGGACGGACATTCAAAAATCGACTCAGAATGTGATTATATGCTTATTCTGAACATGAAACATGTGTCTATCTCGTTTCCTTTTGTTTGTAACAAAATTATTTGTTTACTAATTTTTTGTTTTATATATTATTTATTATTGAATATAAATATACAATTTTTTTTTCTTATATACAATTCACATTAACTTACACATACATACTTATGTACAAAAGATTCACACAATCTTAAAAAACGAAACAACAAAAATCAATTTGGAATTATACTAAAATAATAACAAAATTAATTGGGAATAACTTAAAGTACATAAATTACATTGTCACTAACACAATGGACAACAAACAGGTGGAGGGGCGACACAAGGAAACGAATATCAATCCTTTGAGCGCCAGCAAGAAAATCATTAAAAAAATACTGACTGAAAAATAGGCTAGTAAAAAAACAGCAAACATCACAAAGTCTCCTAAGAATCCGCTTGACCCTTTTTAGGGGGCAAATTTGCTTTGATTTAGTTTTTCCGTAGTTTCGGCATCAGCATCGGTGGGTGGGGCCTTGGGTAGGCTAAAGAATTTCTGTAAAAAAACAAAATTGCAATTTAGAGTAATTTGAAAATAAATGTTGCAACCCAAAAACAAAGGAACATTTATGCTGCAGTACTAAATAACTGCAGTTGTTGTTGTTATTGTTGTTTGTAATTCCCCATTTTTAATGGATTTCATTTAAATTTTTTGGAAATACCCTGCTGCCAACCACTAAGGCTGCCAAATGAAAAAAACAACAAACTACCACGAAAACAACAAACAAACAAACATCATCACTCACATCATGTATGCCAAAGTTACGAGCCTCCTCCATAGTGTCGGGTAGTTTTTTATGCAACGTTTCGGGTAAAAACAATGCACCAATGGCGCCAATCAGAAACAGTGCACCCAAAATATAATACGGACTGCGAATGTCAACCGTGGTGCCTAAGTACACCAAATACGGTGCAACAACGCCAACAGCATTCGCCAGGATGGTGCCAAGGGCAATGCCCGTTTGACGCATACATGTGGGATAGATTTCCATACCCTGCAGATTGGCGGTGAAGAAAGTCATAGCGTTTAAGAATTTGATAAACGCTGCCAAGCCCATAATTACAACTTCGTATTTTTCATCTGAAAAATGAGGAAAGGGGGAGGGAGATAAGTAGAAGATTAAAATGCCAACTTTAGGGGCAGCTGACTGCTCCAACAAACCTGTAGCCAGTAAAATCAGAGGTACACATGCCAAGAAGGAAATAAAAAACGAAAAGCTGTTGGTAAAGCGGCGACCATATTTATCACCTAAAAAATTTTAAGATTTTAGTAAAATTAAATTTTATTTGTAGGTAATAACAACATACCCATATATTTGCCAACCATATAGGCGGGTATCTCCACTATACTCTGTATTAGGAAATTTAAAAAGGGGTTACCATTCATTCGGGAACTGAAAAGTACCAAGGTGAAGTAGGAAACAGCTACCACACACCTGCAAATATTTTAGAGATTAAAGAATATTTTTCATGACCTTTCATGTCCTACAAAAGACGTGGATTTTTATACCCTGCACCAGACTTTTGTACAGGGTATTATGTCGTTGTGCATATGTTTGTAACAGGCAAAAGGAAACGAGATAGACACATGATTCCTTTTGAGAATATGCATAGAATCACATTTTAAGTCGATTTATGCATGTCCGTCCGTCTGTCCATGTTAAATTGTAAACGAAGCACAGGTCGCATTTATTATTCGAATTGGATGAAATTTGGAACAGCTCATTTGTTTGTCCCAAGGACGAACCCTATTGAAGTTGGGAAATTCGATTCAGATTTAGATATAGCTATTATATATATATTCGACCGATTTAAGGTAAATGGTGCACCAAAGTCCCTAAATATCTTTCGATTTCCACGAAATTTGGCACAGCGTACTGAAACTTAGCACACATCATTCTAGGCTTAATTCTGTACGCTATGCCAAATTTCGTGAAAATCGGTTCAGATTTAGATATAGCTCCCATATATAGTTTCGTCCGATTTATGGTAAATGGTGCACCAAAGTCCATATATATCTTTCGATTTACACGAAATATGGCACAGCGTTTTGAATTGAGTCTAGGATGATGTGTGCTAAGTTTCCTGAAGATCCGTCCAGATTTAAATATAGGTCCCATATATTTTCGTCCGATTTAAGGTAAATGGCGAACCAAAGTCCCTAAATAGCTTTCGATTTGCACGAAATTTGGCACAGCGTACTGAATTGAGCCTAAAATTATGTGTGCTAAGTTTCGTGAAAATCGGTTCAGATTTAGATATAGCTCCCATATATATTTTCGTCCGATTTAAGACAAATGGTGCACCAAAGTCCCTATACATCCTTCGATTTGCACGAAATTTGGCATAGCGTACAGAATTAAGCTAAGAATCATGTGTGCTAAGTTTCGTAAAAATCGGTCCAGATTTTGATATAGCTCCTATATAGATTTCCGTACGATTTAAGGTGAATGGTGCACCCAAGTCCCTAAATATATTTCGATTTGCACGAAATTTTGCACAGCGTACTGAATTGAGCCTAGAATGATGTGTGCTACGTTTCGTGAAAATCGTTTCAGATTTGGATATAGATCCCATATATATATTCGTCCGATTTTTCATAAATGGTGCACCAATTTTTCATAAATGGTGCACCCTCGATTTGAGTCTTGGATGATGTGCTCTAAGTTTTGTGAAAATCGGTTCAGATTTACATATAGCTCCCATATATATATTTTCGTCCGATTTTTCATAAATGGTGCACCAAAGTCCTTATAAAACTCTCGATTTGCACGAAATTTGGTATAGCGTACTGAATTAAGCCTAAAACGATGTGTGCTAAGTTTCGTGAAAATCGGTTCAGATTTATATATAGCTCCCATATATATTTTCGTCAGATTTAAGGTAAATGGTGCACCAAAGACCCTATATATCTTTCGATTTGCGCGAAATTTGGCACAGCGTACGGAATTATGTCAAGAATGATGTGTGCTAAGTTTCTTGAAAATCGGTTCAGATTTAGATATAGCTCTCATATATAATTTCGTCCGATTTTAGGTAAATGGTGCACCGATTTGCACGAAATTTGACACAGCGTACTGAATTGAGCCTAAAATGATGTGTGCTAAGTTTCGTGGAAATCGCTTCAGATTTAGATATAGCTCCCGTATATATTTTCGTCCGATTTTACATAAATTGTACACTAAACACCAATGTTTGTCCGATTAACACGAAATTTTGCACAACACATCAAATTGAGACTTGAATGACGTTATTGGGTTTTGTTGAATTTCCATAAATTTGTCTAAATCTATGTTCCTTTGAGGGAACATTGACATACGTTGATTTTTTTACCTCAAAAGGCGTGGATTTTTTAAAGAATATTTGTTCATGTCCTGCAAAAGGCGTGGATTTTTTAAAGAATATTTTTTCATGTCCTGCAAAAGGCGTAGATTTTTAAAGAATATTTTTTCATGTCCTACAAAGGCGTGGATGTCCTACAAAAGGCGTGGATGTTTTAAATATTTTTTTTCATACGCTTTTCATTTCACTTTCCCTATTTTCCACAATTTAAAGACTACATTTTTTATTTAAATTTTTTTTAAAGACATGTCCTGTCTAATGTCAATTCATACTTACCAGCTGAAGCCCATAATACAAGTGTTTCTGGCCAAACGCCAACCGGAGAACAACGAGGCTATGCCGTAGGTAACTTCTTGTTGGGTGCTCACATAGATGGCGATCAACTCTTTTTCGCTCATGTCAAATTGACGTCCATTGATTTTGGCAATTTTCTTAAATTGCCCAATCGCATCAGCAAAGCGTTTCTTGCTAATCAACCAGCGTGGCGATTCAATGGCATATCTAGGCGGGTGGACATTCGAAAGATGCAAAAAGAGAAAATAAAAGAACAGAAAAATAGAAAATGAAACTAGAAATGGAAACGAAATCTAGATTTGATGGGTCTGTGGAATTTGATGGGTAGCAGGCAGTAAGTGAATAAATGACTGACTGCCTGAATGACTGAATGAGTGAGTGACTGAGTGATGAGGCAAAAGAAAAACAAAGAAAATTCAATTGAAACAAAGTTACGACCATCAGCAGTGGCTATATCGCATACACAGAGGGCATACGAAATTACGAATAAAACATTCTTCTCATCTCCCCTTCCCCATGCAGGGTCCCTTTGCAATTGTTTGGTAAGATAGTAAACAGACATTGAGGGGAGCCCCCAATCCATATCCGCGTCTATAGCCCCCCACCATTCACTTCGGTATTTACATCAGTGCATATTTGGTCATAAAACAAAACATTGTGTAAAAAGGTTCCGGGTTTCTTCTTTTTTTGTTTGTGTCGTTGATGCTGTTCTTCGTTGCTGGTGTTTTTTTTTCTCATTTTTTTTTTTGTTTTATCGAAAGAAATTGAAAACAATCGAATGAATTTGATTGGATTTCAAATGAATTGAACACACACACACCAGCACACACATACAACTACGCAGACACATAGTCATACATGTCGAATTGAGCATAAGAAGACATCGTGCAATTGCTTTATGCTTCAATGAATCCTTTTTCGGTGGAAATTTAATGGTGTGTGTGGCGGGGGGATAGGATAGAGAGGTTTCGGAGGACATAGCTGGCAACCAATCCAGCCATATACTTTTGCATTTGTTGGCAATTGGTTGGAGAAGACCAAGAAAGAAGCAAATGCTGAACGAAAACGAAAAAAAGAACACATCAAACCAGGAGACTGATACCGGCAACCAACACTACGCTACAGCAATATGCTTCGTGGTCCTGGCAATGGCATTGTTTTCGTTTTTCCCAGCTTAAAGAGTTTCACTCGCTTCGCTGGCTCATTCGTTTGGTGCCTGCGTGTACCTCTCTGTGTGTCCGTGTGTGTTCCATAGTTCTTTTTGCAAATTGTCGTAATGAATAACAAAGGAAACAAGAAAATGCGAAAAAAAACAACCACAGCAAACCAAAAAAAAAAAACCCAAAAGGATCAAACCACACTCGCATAGTTATCCTTGCATTGCAAATCCTTGCAAGCACATGTATATATGTTCACATGTTTCACGGCTAGAGAGGTACTAGATATTAGGGTGTAATGTACATTTTTGGAAACCCTCTAGAATACATTTTTTTATAATAAATTCCATTACACCCCATTATATGTGTACGTGTGTATTGATGCTGATAATGTTTACACAGAAAAATTCACCGAAAATGTTTCGACAGTGTGTTCTTCTTTCTACTCACTTGGAGAAAATCAATACTAAGGCCGTTGGTATCGTTGTTATCCACATGAAGGGCTCCCATTTGCGTAACCACCAGAAAAGCAATGGCATTAATGTTGTTCCAATTGACCAACCAAAACTCTGATATATGGCGATTAAACTTCGATCTTGTCTGAAATTAAATTAAGAAGAAGAGGAGATATGTTAGTAATTTAAAGGAAAACAAATTAGACTTAAAATTTTACGTCGAAGAATTAAATAATTCAAGTAGACATAAGTAATATGTAAGGAACAAACCATAGGTGGATGATGCCGAATTAGTAAAATTGAAAATGAAATTTCGTCGATTATTTGTTGTCAATGGCTATGCAACATGTGGTAACTGCAAATGACAAGCAACCCACAAATAAGTCAATAAATAATCAGTTAATAACTTCAAAAATTTCCAGATGGGATGGTATTTTCATAGCAATGACAACGTCATGGTTCAGTGAGTTTCACCAATGTCACCTTTTTTCTTAAGCCATTTCGCTCCGATATACAATTTTTGGGTAATTTGTATACCCTACACAACTATGTTGTCAGGGTATTATATCTTTGCGCATCCCCAAGAGTTTGTAACGCCGCGAAATATTGGTCCTAGACCCACCTTTAACTATACCGATCGTCATATCTCGACTAGCTGAATCGATCTAGACATGTGTGTCTGTCTGTCCATTATAAATTGTAAACACACTACAGGCCACAGTTATGGACCAATCTTCACGAAATTTTACTTGTAGAATGGGTTCTGACCAATGAAGGCCCATATTGTTTTTGGCAAAGATCGTTTAATATTTAGGGGATGAAATGGACCAAAAACTTTATTTTTGTATGATTTTCTGGTCGCTCCAGAGGCCGCAATTATGGCCGAAACATCGCAAATTTTACATGGAGAAGGGGATCGGGCCAAAGAATAAGCATGCCTGTTTTGGGTAAGATCGGTCAAATGGGCCCTGATTTTTCTGTAAAATTACAAAATTTGTATTCTGCAGCGCATATATTTACCCCTGAAGGAAATAGACCCAAGAAGTTGATACTATATCCAAGAGTAGTGGTTGACCTTAAAATTGATACCAATAATATTGTCGTATGTACTCGGACGTGGGAGTTACACTTAAATATTTACAGGTGCTTACGTATTCATATATTATTTAGTAATCTATTATCACAATAGAGGGCGAAAATATAGCGCTGCTCGATTTGAAAATTTCCATGAGGATCCAGGTATAGTCAAGGACAACTCCTATAATAATATTGGGATGAAATGGACCGAAAACCTAATTTGTTGTGGTTTTATACCCTTCACCACACTGTGGTACAGGGTATTATGTCTTTGTGCATATGTTTGTAACAGGCAAAAGGAATCGAGATAGACCCATGGTTCCTTTTGAGAATATGCATAGAATCACATTCCGGGTCGATGTCCGTCCGTCCATGTATTTTTGTGAGCAAAGTACAGGTCGCATTTATGATCCGAATTGGATGAAATTTGGCACAGCCCATTGGTTTGGCCCAAGGACGAACCCTATTGAAATTGGAGAAAATCGGTTCAGATTTAGATATAGCTCCCATATATATTTTCGTCCGATTTTAGGTAAATGGTACATCAAAGTCCGTAGTAAAATAAGTCAATAATGACGTGTGATACATTTCGAGAAAATCGGTTCAGATTTAGATATAGCCCCCATATATAGTTTCGCCCGATTTTAGGTAAATGGCGCCCCAAAGTCCCTATATATCTTTCGATTTGCACGCAATTTGGCACAGCGTAATGAATTAGGTCTAGAATTAGATATAGCTCCCATATATATTTTCGTCCGATTTTATGTAAATGGTGTACCACAGTCTCTATATATCATTCGATTTGCACGCAATTTGGCACAGCGTAATGAATTAGGCCTAGAATGATGTGTGTTAAGTTTCGTGAAAATCGGTTCAGATTTAGATATAGCTCCCATATATATTTTCGTCCGATTTTATGTAAATGGTGTACCACAGTCTCTATATATCATTCGATTTGCACGAAATTTGGCACAGCGTACCGAATTAAGTCTAGAGTGATGTGTGCTAATGTTCGTAAAAATCGGTTCAGATTTAGATATAGCTCCCATATATGTTTTCGTCCGATTTTAGGTAAATACTGCACCAATGTCCCTATATATCCTTCGAGTTGCGCGAAATTTGGCATAGCGTACTGGATTAAGCCTAGAAAGATGCGTGTTAAATTTCGTGAAAATCGGTTCAGATTTACATATAGCTCCCATATATAGTTTCGTTCGATTTTATGTAAGTGGTGCACCAAAGCCCCTACATATCTTCCGGTTTGTACGAAATTTGGCATTTCGTACTGAATTGAGTCAAGTATGATGTCTGCTAAACTTCGTAAAAATTGGTTCAGTTTTAGATATAGTTCCCATATATATTTTCTTCGGATTTTAAATGAACTGCGTCTAGAATGATGTGTGTGCTATGTTTCGTGAAAATCGGTTTAGATTTAGATATAGCTCCGTCCGATTCCATTTTAATGCTCCTCCAAAGATGCTATGTATATTCTATCTAAAAAATATTGTACATATGAGCATCTCTTGTATGTACCTAAAGTGGTGAAGGGTATTATATAGTTTTAATTTGGTGTTTCCAATTTTTGAAGGATAAACAATATATTTGAAAAAAAAATTAGTATAAATCTGTGCTTTGGCATAGCCTCCATACACAAGTCATGCCCAATTTTGGGTAATTTTCTGTTCCTACCATTAATTTCCCTCTGAAGTGATACAATTGCCATACAGGATTCCTGGATGGATAGCTTTTTTGGAATCCTTATGCACCGAGCGTAAAACATTCAAAATAACACTTTTCATTATGAAAAAAGTACTTGTGTAGGACCCATTGATTTCAAAAACGCACTCAAAATTTGTTTGCACTCACAATTTTTTTTTTAAAAATTTGATGTATTAGCATAATGCATCATTATTTTTTTCATCTAATATTTTTTAACTTTTTTTATAAACTTTTAAAAATATAGGTGTCAGAAATTGACTTCTGCTCCTAATTGCTAGGAACATTCTTAATATTTGTAGATTTGAATGAAATAATCTCATATCTGATCAGTCATAAGGGTTCCCACATAATAAGCCCCTAATTTTCATTATTTTTATTAGGTTTTCAGAATTGATATGAAATATGGGCGCTTTAATACCCTTCCAATCAAAAAGTAGATATATGCCGATATTTGGGTATAACTCTATATAATAGTCCAGACCCTTTATTGGAATTATGATGGTCCATTTGCAAAATGCAGTGACTATATTTTAACATTATTAAGTGGCTGTAAACTGGCATTTCCGGATCTTGATGGGTAAACAACGTCTTCACAGAACATTTTCAATATGTCCATATTTATTCCTTTTCGAACCTGAGTGTCTGTAATTTTGTATTTCCTTTTCTCAGGCAGCAATTTACCATTACATACCCCCTATATAAATGTACCCATAAATTTAAGTTATTTCGAATGACCATCTCATTGTGGAATGTATAAAAATGTTACTTGATAAATAGAGATTTTATTTGAATTGTTTTGGTATTTTGAAGAATTTTTATCCAAATTGGCTGAGAACTTAAAATATTTAAGGGTTATAGACATAACCTTCTACTACAGAGGCACTTCATTCTTGCCCTTCACTTCTACATTGACCATTGAACTTCGTATATTTTAAAATTGTAACTTCAATTCGAACTTACTCTCTTGATATTTCCATGCCAACAATTTGTGGCGATTGAAACAGTGAATTAATTGTAAGGGCAGTCAGACCGGAAAATATCAGGAACCATGTATAATGGGCCGTTGTCAAAATCGAAGACAATCGACCAATTGAACAGAACACCACACTGATATAGTAGACCACACGGCGGCCAAAGCTAAACAAATAATAAAAAGAAAATAAAAAAGGAAAAAGAAACAATTGAAAAGAAAAGGAATTGAAAAACAAACATTCACCACAAAAGAAAAAATAAAATGAAACAATGAATGTCGCCAATGTCGATGAAAAAGTAGACGTTAAGGAATATTAACGCTTTTCAATTATTTTCCGAATAATAGATTTAAATGTATTCTTGTTAATTTGATTCGAGTTGAAATGGAATGGAATTGAGTTAGTTTTTTTCACATTTTTCTGTTAGCCACCACAACTGCTGAGGACAATTGTGTGAAGTCATTTAAAGTTATTCCATATCGGCGTTGCTCTTAATGATGATGGTGTGTGGTATGGTCGTGGTGGTGATGGTGTTTGTGATGTTGATGGGAATGCTGATGAAGCGCAAACTGTTTCAAAAATTCTGACCATTGCCACTGCCAACAATGATGAAGACGGTAAATGGTGCTGATGGTGAAATGAACTAAAGTAAATTTTCAAAAAAAAAAGATGGACTTACATATCACCCATTTGTCCTAGCAGAAATGAACCCGCAACTTCTGTCACTCGTCCAACAACGAAAACATTTGTCACATATAAATCGCGCTCACAAACCCAATTCTCCTGGCTGGGTATTGTGTCTCGATACCATTTCTGATCATAAGTCCAACCATGTTGGCAGGCTGTGAGGAAAAAAAAAAACATAAGAAAACACAAATGAATGAGATGAACAAAAAAAATTGTGCCGATAAAGAAAATAAAATAAAAAAAAAATAAAATAAATAAAAAGAAAACGAAGAAAAGCAAATAGTAAACAAGAACAAAAGCCGCAGAGTGACTAAGATTGTTGACTGTTTAAATAGCGAAAGTCATGGCATCCAATAGCTGACAGAAGTTTTGTGGTTGTTGCTTCTCGCTGTGGTGGCCAACGATAAATGTTAGTATAGCTACGTTTTTGGTCAATAGAATAATGATGGGATCACTTCTATTGCCCGTCGCACCGTCAATGTTAACAAGAAATCAAATAAATTGTTTTGGTACAGTGGTTCTGAAAGGGAACACATTCGGAATCTTCGTATAAAAAAAAATATTAAAAATCTACGCTTCTATTTTGCTCTTGAAAAAAATAATTTTAAAAATCTACGCCTGTATTTAAGTCTTGAAAAAAATATTTTTAAAAATCTACGCCTATATTTTGCTCTTGAAAAAAATATTTTTAAAAATCTACGCTTATATTTAAGTATTGAAAAAAATATTTTTTAAAATCGATGCCATTTTCTTAAACCAGTAGTAAAGTCGGACTGGTCCGACTATATGATATCCTTCACCACTTGGGTATATTGTACATATGTACCCTTACAATTGTATGTCAATGTTCCCTCGGAGGAACATACTCATGTCTTTCCGCAGCCTATGACAAATTTAATTAAATTCTGGCAGATTTAGATAAATTTATGGAAAATGATTTATAGCAAAATTGATAATCTCAATCAAACATCCGTTCGAAATACATATGGAAGCTATGGCTGTATCTGTATCAATTTCAACAAAACCCAATAACGTCCTTCAAGTCTCAATTTGATACGTTGGGCAAAATGTCGTGTTAATCGGACAAACATTAGGGTTTGGTACACCATTTACATTAAATCGGACGAAAACATATATGTGAGCTATATCTAAATCTGAAGCGATTTTCAGGAAACTTAGCACACATCATTCTACTCTTAATACAGAACGCTGTGCAAAATTTCGTGTTAATCGGACAAACATTATGAGTTTGGTGCACCATTTATGTAAAATCGGACAAAATATATATGGGAGCTATATCTAAATCTGAACCGATTTTTACGGAACTTAGCACACATCATTCTAGACTCAATTCAGTACGCTGTGCCAAATTTCGTGCAAATCGAAAGATATATAGAGGATTTGCTGCACCATTTACATTAAATCGGACGAAAGTATATATGGGAGCTATATCTAAAGTTGAACCGATTTTTACGAAACTTAGCACACATCATTCTAGGCACAATTCAGTACGCTGTGCCAAATTTCGTGCAAATCGAAAGATATATAGAGGATTTGCTGCACCATTTACATTAAATCGGACGAAAGTATATATGGGAGCTATATCTAAAGTTGAACCGATTTTTACGAAACTTAGCACACATCATTCTAGGCTCAATTCAGTACGCTGTGCCAAATTTCGTGCAAATCGAAAGATATATAGGGACTCTGGTGCACCATTTACCTTCAATCAGACGAAAATACATATGGGAGCTATATCTAACTCTGAACCGATTTTTCCCTATTTCTATAGGGTTCGCCCTTGGGCCAAATTAATGAGCTGTGCTAAATTTCATCCAGTTCGAATAATAAATGCGACCTGTACTTTGTTTACAATTTGACATGGACAGACGGACGGACGGAAATGCATAAATCGACTTAGAAAGTGATTCTATGCATATTCTCAAAAGGAACTACGGGTCTACATATTTTCCTTTTGCCTGTTACAAACATATGCTTAAAGACATAATACCCTGTACCACAGTGTGGTGAAGGGTATAAATATACGACTATTGTTGGGTTTTGAACAAATTATTTCTAAAAATCTAAGCCTATATTTAAGTCTTGAAAAAATATTTCTAAAAATCTATGCCAATTTCTAAAAATATACGCCTATTGTTGGTCCTTGAAAAAATAGTTTTAAAAAATCGTCGCCTATAATAATAATGGCTTGAAAAAAGTATTTTTAAACCAGTGAGCAGAGCAGTATAGCCGGACGGAGCCGACCATACGATACCCTAAAAAACTTCCATGAAAATCTAACTTTCTGTGGTTCTATATTCTCAGATTGGGCAATATTTCGCGATATTTGCACACTTTTGACTGGCTAGAGGTCAGCAAATGTTACTAATAATCAGTACAGCCCTTCTAATTACATGTGCTGATTCCCTTCACCGTAGGTTGTGTTGTGATGTTCGGCTTTCGACTCGAAAAGTACAAATAATTAAGTTTTTAGGCGTTGTCCTTGACCATAACTGGAACCTCATGGAACATTTCAAAGTGATCAGGCTATATATCCGCCCTAAAGTGTGGTAATTGGTTTTTACAATAATATACGAATACGTAAGCACCTGTAAATATGTAAGTGTAACTCCCACATCCGAGTACCTACGACAATATAATTGGTATCAATTTAAAGGTTAACCACTCCTCTTGGATATAGTATCAACTTCTCAGGTCTATGTCATTTGGTGGTAAATATATACGCTATAGAATACAAATTTTGTCATTTTTCACACAAAAGTTAGGGTCAATTTGACCCGATAAGTATTGACCGATCATTATCAAAACAGGTATGATTATGATTTGGCCCGATCCCCCTCTCCATGCAAAAATTCGCGGTGTTTGGGGCATAATTGCGGCGTCTGGAGCGACCAGAAAAAAACGACAAAAATAATGCTTTTGATCCATTTCATCCCCAAAATATTAACCGATCTTTTCCAAAAACAATAGGGGTCTTCATTGGCCAGAACCCATTCTACATGCAAAATTTCGTGAAGATTGGTCCATAACTGTGGCCCGTATCGTGTGTACAAATTATAATGGACAGACGAACGGACGGACGGACGGACACACATGTCTAGATCGACTCAGCTAGTCGAGATATGACGATCGGTATACTTAAAGATGGGTCTAGGACTAATATTTCGCGGCGTTACAAACTTTTGGGGCTGCACAAAGCTATAATATCCTGACAACATAGTTGTGTAGGGAATAAAATTCGAAGCCTATATTTAAGTCTTGAAAATAATATTTTTAAAAATCTATGCCCTTTTCTAAAAATATACGCCTCTTGTTGGGTCTTGAAAATAATGGCTTGAAAAAAGTATTTTTAAAAAATCTAGGCCTATTTTAACGGCTTGAAAAAAACATTTAAAACCCCTACTCCTGTTTTTTGTGTTTCTTATCCGATTGGAATTACAACAATATTTTGACATCAAAGGACCCAGTAAATCAAATCCAGTAAAGGAACCACTGTCTATCTGAAGTTGTGAGCGTGTTGTTTTTCGTTTTTCGTTTTTCATTTCATTCATTTGTTTAACTCCGTTAAGTTAAAGTGAAACGCATTAAAGTGCAAAGTTGTAAAAAGTAATGTTAAGCAAATGGAAAAACTTTGTTAGTTCTGCTTCGTTATGTCCCGCCCGGCGAGCATACATACATTCAAACAGACAGACATTTCTAGCGAACTTCTTACATATTTATGTGTATTGATGGAGTTGCAACGTGGGTGCTCTTTACAGATACATTAGGATTTTCAAAGTTCGTAGCTTCTAAACCAAACTCTATATCCCTGTATTTTCGCTTTTTCTCTTTGACTGCAAAAGGGAGAACTTGAGGTTGCTAACCGAAAACGATTTCCCAAGAAATTATTGCTTTTTATTTTATAATTGAAAGTTATTGAATAACTTTGAAAATGTAAGAAAGGAGAAAAGTCAGAAAAAAAACTGCGACGCGACGACAACGACTAATAACAGATAATGCTATATTATGAATCAAATTTGTGGTTAGAACAGTTCTTTTTTTGTGTGTGGTTGTAGTCGGGTATGGGTGTGTGTGTGTGTGACTACTTTATATTTATATTCAGTAGAGTGTAGATATGTCTGTTCCGCTTCCTGCAGTACCATGGTGTGCTTTGTAAAACCACATTTACATAATAAAGTCATAGACATTTATAGGAAGAAGCAACAGACATATTTAACTGTAGCACATACATGCACACACATATTACCAATAATTCATATTTCTGGTAGAAACAGTGTCTTCAGATGGTATTATGACAGGCCTTTTATTGAAGCTTGAATTTTTTTTTTAAATCTACGCATATTATCGAAGCTTGAAAAAATATTTTTAAAAAATCAACGCCTATTGAAAAGAATATATATATTTTTTTTTTTTTTGAATCTCGACTGTAGTTGTGTTTTGAAAAAAAAAATAGAACATTCGCCTATAATTGTGTCTTGATAAAATATTTTTCAAAAATCTACTACAGTGAATGGCGTAAGGGATGATAGATATCAAGCAACGGCTCGGATTGGCTTTAACATGGCGAAGTCCAGGCTTATCTTGGTCCCTCTTTCATCTCAATTGTGGACACTGACCTCCCCGCAATGTCACCTGGGTAGCTATTTTCATCACCCGTTGAAATAATGAGCTGATATGTGCCGCGAGTTCATCCATAAGAACAATAAGAACTGGGTTGAGGCGTCGGGTTAGTTGCCCAGACTCGGAAAACCCCTCCTACTGTGAAAAAGCAAAGAAAAAGAAAACCAAACCCCCCCAATGTTGATGACCCCCTGTAAACGTATAAAGAACCACGATCTGCTAATCTGCACTTGAAATGTGCACACGTTGTACAGAACAGGGACAGTGTTCGCTTTGGCGGATGTACTCAAGAAGTTCAAAACCGATATTATTGCCTTACAGGAAATGCGATGGAAAGGGACAGGCATAAGTAAATCAGACGATTATGAACTGTATTATAGCTGCCATGAAACGAGACATGAATTTGACTGCGGATTTATGGTTAACAGGAGAATAAAAGACCTCGTCTCCAGATTCACTCCAGTAGATGAGCGGATTGCTATAATCCGCAAAAAACGAAGTTCTTCTGCATCAG